GAGCGAGATCTGGGAGAGGGGAGAGAGGGGAACGAAAATATATGTATATATACAATTTTCTCTCGCTTTATACAAATACAAACGCACTTTATACACTTGCGTTTGTATAAAAAACAAGAGAGGCGAGGGAGAGAACGAGAGTGGCGAGCGAAATTCACCAGGAGAGAGGTGAAATAGCAACAATTTGCTATGAGATACAATTAAATCAAACTATATTTATAGCATTTAATTTAAATTAATAGTTTGCTATTATATACATTTTTCCCTAAATAGAACTACTTGTTGAAAGGCCCATTTTCCATGCTCACTTTAATGGGCCTGCCCCAACCAAAGTCCCATGTCATTACATTATTTTATTTTATTTTCCACTCGGTGTCTGGTATCCACATCAGAGCTTGATTATTCTTGATTCGCCCTGCTAGGGCTCCATTATGGGGAAAACGCTCTCTACCAAGGATTTTTTCATATCCAAAGCTTGAACTCGAGACGTTTGATTAAGGGAGGAACAACCTCACTACACCATTTGAAACTAAGTCTCTTGAAAACTAAACACTATTCAAAAGATGAAGTATAAGAATATAGTTGAAATTTTTTGTTATCTTGAATTTTTAAGGTAACACTTATTTGAGACAGAAAAACAAAAAACTAAAATAACAATTATTTTAAAATGGAAAAGTAAAAATTAGCCAAATGAATGATTTTAGTGGCTCAAGTAGGTGCCTTATAACCTCATTATTTAGTGGCTCTCTGAAGTCAGAGAGATAGGTGGGGACTCTTTTTGACAAACGAGATTAAATAGGTTCAATATTCCCTATAGTCGATAATAGATAAATCGTTGGATTTTTTTTATAATATAGAATAAGTGAATTATTCAAAGTTCAAAATAATTATTTGGGGTTCGTTCCATGTTTATCCTTTATTTGTTGAGATTCTTAACTACTCAACATTTTCTAGGAGAATAGTTTGAGAATAGTTCAAGATAATTGTTGGGAGTAGGGTCCCGGGTCAGGGTCGGGGTCTTTGGTTGAAATTGAAAATCAGGTCTCTCGGGTCGAGGGTCCCGAGTTGGAGTTGGGAGTCGGGTCTTGGATCGAGGTTGGGGTAGAGAATTGGGTCCCGGGTTGGGTCAGGGTCTTGAGTTGGGATGAAGACCTGACTCTCTACCCCGACTTGAGACCAGACTTCCAACCTCGACCTGGACCCGACTCCCAACCTTTACCTAAGGCCTAATTAACCTCGACTTGGGACCTCATTCTTGACCCCGATTTCGACTTGTACCGACTCTTATTCCTGACACCAACCCAAGACCTAACTTCAGTTCCAAACCCCAGATCCAAGACCTAACTTTTCACCCTCTGATCCCTGACCTTGCCCTAGACTCAATTATCTAACTCATGATTGGAGACTCGACTCCGACCTTGACCCATGATTTGACCCCAACCCTGACTTGAGGCTCGTATATGTGTTATTAAAGGGTAGAAATTCAGATCCAATGTCATATTATTTGTCTAGATTATACCTAAATGTTTTGAAGATAATATTTTTTTACTAATCGAACATTAGAAAATAAGAAAGAAATCAAATATTTTCCTTCCTACTGAACACACCCTTGATAAATCTCCAAAGACTACTATAAATTAAAAAGAGATGACACTCTTTTATTTCACATATCTCATTATAATACTATTCACACTTTCTATTTTGTTTTCACGGATTATTTTACTACGCTATTTAAGAATTACTCTTTCTACACAGTATTGCTTCTAACTCTCTCTTGCAACAAAACCTCCAAATTTATATATATTAAAAAGCGCTCGAAAATAAATAAATAAAATTTGTTTGTTACAAATTAATTTTTTTTTGGAGCCAAAGAATTTTCACGTGTCTATTACCAAAATTATCACATAGAATAGACCCACAATCCATACTCATAATGGCTTGCGTACCAGAACTAACCATTCTTTAATTGAGTAATTTTTTTGTCTTAATTTATTTATATATATGTTGAATTTTTGTCTTATAAAATAATACTCGATCAGTAAAAATAAATACACGCTCATAGGTTTAAACTCTATTAATATACGAGGGCTGAGCAGCAGTAGAGTTCGACAAAATTCACTAACTTAATTCAAACTTTGTATTTGTGTTAAATTTTTTATTTAATAGATACAAATAATCTATTCAGCATTCAGTAAATTATAAAAATAATGAAAAAGTACCCCTGAACTATGTGAAATAGACCACTTATGCCCTCCATTACATTTTGAGATAAAAAATACCCCGCCGTTATCCAAAAAGACTACAAATATGCTCAACAGTTAACTACCAAAAATTTTAGTGACGTGACAAACCACATGGGACTAAACCCTCCACCTAAGCGTTGTCAACTAGGATTTACTTTTTTAAAACAAACTAGATCTTTAGCGGCGATAAAAGTCACCACAAAATCTCAAAATATTGTCACTAAAGGGTTTGAGTGAATTTTTAGTGGCGACTAAGGCTGCAATAGCTATTCACTAGTAAAACCTATTTTTTCAATAAAAAAATATGATAATTAATTTTCGGTTGCAACCTAATTTTCTAAAATAAAATAACATGTACTATCAATATTAAAAACATCCAATATTATTATGAAAATCATCAAAATTACTTCTCGACTCAAATCTCCTACTACATTATTGTACATTTTATGTATGCATATACATATGACAAAAAAAATAAAATATATAGTTTCTTCAAAACTCCTCCTTGATCGATATTATTTGTGATTTTTAAAAACAATGAAGAAAAAAAAAACACAAAATCATAATTTAATGCTAAAAATCATTGAATTTTTCAACAAAAAAATATGATAATTAATTTTCGATTGCAACCTAATTTTCTAAAATAAAATAACATGTACTATCAATATTAAAAACATCCAATATTATTATGAAAATCATCAAAATTACTTCTCGACTCAAATCTCCTACTACATTATTGTACATTTTATGTATGCATATACATATGACAAAAAAAATAAAATATATAGTTTCTTCAAAACTCCTCCTTGATCGATATTATTTGTGATTTTTAAAAACAATGAAGAAAAAAAAAACACAAAATCATAATTTAATGCTAAAAATCATTGAAAATCTTTGTGGCGATATTCTAGGCTTTTGTGGTGACTTTTATCGCCGCTAAATGTCTAGTTTTTTTTAAGTGAATCCTAGTTAACACACTTAGGTGGAGAAATTAGTCCCACATGGTTTGTCACGTCACAAAAAAATTGAATTGTTAATTCTTAAGGGTATTTGTGGTCTATTAAGATAACAACGGAGATATTTTTGATCCCAAAATTTCCTGTTTCGCATAGTTCAAAAGCAATTTTGACTCTTAAAAAAATAATTATATTTCAGTCTCTAGATTCTATAAATGGTAGCTCTAGTGAATAGTTTTACTTAACCAAATATAGAAAGCATAATGGTGCCATCACTTGTTTCATTGATTTCCAAGAAAATAATCAAACCTTCTATTCTCACTCCTCCTAAAAAATCTCACAAACTTTCATTTGTTGATCAAGTTGTTCATATGTCTATTTCTATGGCATTTTTCTACCCAAAAATTAGCAATTATGAACCTACACATGTATCTCAACTTCTTGAGAAATCACTTTCTATTACACTTTCATTGTATTATCCTTATGCTGGAAGATTAAATAAGGATGATGATAATTATGTTGATTGTAATGATATGGGAGTTGACTTATCACATGTTCATGTACATTGTCCCATGTCTCAAATTTTTAGACAACCTTACACTCATGCTGAACATGTTGTTTTTCCAGTAGATGATCAAACTTATGCCCATAATGAAGGCAAGTTGGCTACAATGCAGGTAAGTTGTTTAATTTTGCTATACATTAAGAAATGCTAACGACTAACATCAACCAACTTTATTGTCACCATCACGCCAATCCCGACGATACATATCAACCACCTCCATCATTATAATTGTCACCACTACTATTACTAGTCACTAACACCAATACCAACCATTACCATCACCTCGACTACAAACTATCTCCACCATCATTAGCGAACATAAAAGTTTCATTTGTTATAATGATTTTATTTTATTAAATTTATATATTTTTGTAATTTTTTTTTATTTTTGTATTGTATATTAATTATATTTACATATACATAAATTATACATATTTGAATGTTGAAAAACAAATAATTTTAATTATTCAATATTCAGATCTATTTACAATATATAATATATAAAGTTTGTTTTGTTAGCTAATAATTTTTTTTTAATCTTTATTATGATTTTATATAACGTATTAAGCAAAAACAAAAGTTTTTAAAGAGTATTTGATAATATTCTATCAGAGGTCAATTTGTACAATATATATTTAGCTCAACTTTTGGATGAGCTGAATTAAACGAAAACAAAATATATTGAATTATTAATAGACGAGTCATGTATCGATGGGCTAATAATGTTCCCTTCCTTATTCACGAGTCATGACTAATTCAAATTCACGACATATTGATTAGGTAAGTCATTTTGATTGCGGAGGGATAGCAATTAGTGGATGTTTATTACACAAGATTGGAGATGGTTGCACCGCAAGTAATTTCTTCTACAACTGGGGAGTTTTGAGTTGTGACATAAATGCAATACCACCATCTCATCCTCATTTTGTTGAAGACTCTATTTATCCTCAATCTAATGATCCTTCTGTAGTATCAACTATCAAGTCTAAAGAATCAACTAAATGCACTAAAAGCCAATATCGCGCATGAATCAAAAGTACAAAACCCTACCCGCTCAGAAGTTGTGAGCTCTCTTCTTTACAAATGCGCTATAGATGCTAGAAAAGTGAATAATTCGGGCTCATTTAAACCATCTTACTTGTTTCAACTTGCTAACATGCGTCAAAGGCTCAACCCACCTTTGTCACATGACGCATGTGGAAATATTTTATCTGGTTATTTCGTGGAAATAGATAATGACAGAGACGTAAATTGTTCGAAATTGGTACGTGAAATGAGGAAGGGGAAATTGAATCTTCATGCTAAGAAAAATGTGATTATCTCAGAAGTAATTGAATCAATTGAAAAAGGAAATACACCATTTCATAGCAATGAAATTGATAATTATTTTTGTAGTAGTTTGATAGCATTTCCACTTTATAAAGTGGACTTTGGTTGGGGAATGGGAACTGGGCCTTTCAACAAGTGGTTTTATTTATTGGATAACCAAAGTGCAGGTGGAGTTGAAGTTATAGTCATGTTGGATGAACAAGATATGGCTATATTTGAAAGAGATCCAGAGCTTCTTGAGTTTGCTAGTCCAATTACAAGTCTTCAATTATAAAGTATTTGATTTTTGTGTTGTTTTATGAAATCTCCAATATGTGTTGTGTTTTTTAGTTGTTTGATTTATGTTGTTTATTGTACCAAGGAGGCCGCTTTACCATGTAACATAGTATTCACGTGAACTCAATAATTTTTTATCTAGGCATTATATTTATATTTATGTTATTTTGTACTATTTGAATATTTCTATTGTTACCATGCTCATTTTAATGGGCCTTCCCCAACCAAATTAAAGTCCACTTTATAACTCCATTCCTCATTTTGCTTTGGATCGAGGGTCCCAGGTTAGGGTCAAGAGTCCAGTCTTGAGCCGGGTTGGAATCCAAAGTCGAGTCCCGAGTTGGGTTGGGATCGATCCCTCGAGTCAGGATTAGGATTCGACTCCCTACCTAGATTCGGAATCCAACTTTTGTTCCCGACCCCAACCCAAAATCTAACTTTTGGCCCCAAACCCGAGACCCAACTCCCGAATTCTGATCTCCAATCCTAACCCGAGGCCCAATTACTATCAAACTTCCGATTCGAGATTCGACCCTGACCTTAACCTAAGATTTGATCCTGACCCTGACTCATAGTTCAAAAATGTGTTGAAAGGTAGGGATTCGAGTCTGATATCATACTATTTGCTTAGATTATACCTAAGTTGTAACACCCCGTATTTGAAACAGACCAAAAATACAGATTTCGAAAAGTTGAAGGTGCAACTTACGGTCACCATCCACGGACCGTAGGTCAGACCACGGCCCGTGCTGGTGGTCCGTGGTTCACCACTGCAACCCCTCCCAGACCCAGCTCAGAAAATTGGCTAAGTCCCGACTCACGGACAGACCCACGGTCTGTAGATAAGACCACGGTCCGTGGTCTGTGTCCGTGGATCGAGACTTCCCCTACCCAGCCTCTGA